CTCCGGCGCCCTCCGCCTCGCTCCGGCCCCTCCCAGCGCCCCCCGTCCCGCCGGCAGCCCCTGCGCTCGTCTCGCGGGCTCTCCAAGAGGAGCTGTTTACTCTCAAGGGCTACGGTGCTGGAGACGGGACGGGAAACACCCGGTGGTTCCTCGTGTCTGTGGACAGAGGGGCCGGAGGTCACCTTGAACCCCCGCGTGGGGCGAGGTGTGGGGGGGAAGAGGACGTGGGGCCTGTGGAGCTCCCCCGGGCGGGCACCGCGCAGCCGTCGAGGGCTGCAGGAGCAGAGGCCACTGACCCCGGCGCCCCCTCGCTGCCGCGCGGGCCGCGCTGCTCCCTGCCCGGGGAAGCTCGACGTGGTTCCGTGCGCGACGGCCCCGCGGGCGAGCAGGGGGCACCGAGGCACAGGCAGCTGCGGGGTTCGCCTGTGCAAGTGCAGAATACGCAAACACAAGCGCCTATGGAGGCATAGGCAGAGCTATACACAGTTTACATTATATTTCAACAGCCGAATTTCTCGTGGCTGCGGTGGTTCTCCCTCGCTTTCACTTTGCTGCTCCCGCCTCCCTTCTATTTCGCTTGCTTTCTCTTCTGTATAAATGTGGCTCGCCAGCGGTCGAATGGAAACCCATTCCCACGGGATCTGGATGTTTCTGAGGTGTGGGAAGGAGAGCGGCATCGCGATATATTGTTAGGGCGATGATGTCCATTGCGCGGCTGTGGACGAGCTGGACGCGCGTTTAGAGCGGGCGGGGAAGAGAAAGGATTCCGGCGCCCAGATTTCTCGGTCAATTTGTGCGGTGAAAATCCGGAATAATTCTTCTGACCTTGATACGATTACACAGGGTTTACTGGGTATTTTGTCGGTTACAAAAAGACAAAAGAATCAGAGCTTTAAATCTCAGATTGTAGAATTTTCAACAGAAACAGGAAAAGAAATATCCCAAACTCCCGTAAATTTGCATTAAAATTATCAATTTATTTTTTCCCATGTAAAACAGCGACCTTTTCCAAATATCAGATGTCGTCAATGACAAACGAAAACACCACGATCTTTAAATATTCGATGGTAAAAAAGTCATAATTTTCTAGTAACTTCACTAGGGCCACCGTTTTCAGCAATTGCTGCCTTGAGTTAAATGCCTCTTAGCTTCACAGCATTCAAAGAAAAATAGATTGACATTTTATCCTGCGCTTGTGTTATAACCCGAGGGAAAAAAAAAAAAAAGACGGGGACGGTCTAATGATCGACACTTTCTTTTCCTATCAGGCCATTTCCTACAGTGCTGCATCCATCAGCAAGCACGAATAGAAATAATGAAACGCGGTGACAAATAGGGGAAAAAAAAAAAAAAAAAAAAAGAGGAGAGGAGAGGGGGAAAGAGATTTCGAAATATCCCTCTTCCAAGATGATGGCGCACGATAGCAACAACAGGCACCTTGAGCGAAAGCCCCCCCAGCATCTGCCCTCCCCAGGCCTCCCGAGGCCAAACCCTCCTTCTGCAAATCCCTGCTCCTGGGGGTCACTGATGGCAGCGGCTCTGTGTCTCTCGGGTTGCAGGTCTAAACTATTTTGGGACGGACAGGGCAGAGAAGCAGCCCCGGGGGCGAGGAGAGGAGCCAGCAGCACTCTCTGCGAGGCAGCGCCTCCACCAGTGCGCGGGGGGCTCGCTCCCTTCGTGTAAAACTTGAGCTTTCCCAGGAGAAGAGAGATGGAAACGGCAAAAGAAAACATTAAAAAAAAGGAAAAAAGAAAGTCTAAAGGTTTCAGGATTGGGCCTACGAAATGTCATTCCTCCCTGTATGGTCCAAGATCTTGGCTAAAATCACCCTTCCCCCGACTTCAGACCCCCAGGACTGCTAGATCCCGGGCGCGCTCCTGTCGCGAGGGCGATTTCCAACACGCCCGGAGCAACGAAAACAAAACCAAGAACAGAGACAAGCGCCGAGGTGCCAGGACGAGCGAAGGCTGCGCAGGAAGCAGCGCTCCACGCGTGGGCCCCGGCGCTGCCCGCGCCCGCTCCCCGGCTCCCATGGCCGCACCGGCCTCGCGGGGCTCCCCGCGCAGAAAGCGCCACTTTCTCCACGTTTTCCCTGGAAAATAACCCCGACCGCACAGTGTGTAACGCGCACATCCGCACTAGCAAACCCTGCCTAGCACCGCAGCATCCAACGCGCGTCTCTTCTGTGCGGGGCCGAGCAGCGCTGCGGATGAGCGCGGCGAGATCCACGCCGCGCTGCGCGGCCCCGACGGCCCCGCGTTCAACCGCGGCCGGGAGAAGGCGCCGGGAATCCGCGCTTAGGAACGACACAAGCGACAGGGCCAGGTGTTAAACTAAAGTTTATAAATAAAAAAAAAGGGGGAGGGGAGGCAGGGAAGTACAGCTGTAGCTTACAAACATTCACAATTCATTTGATGTAAATAATCTAATTGAGTGCACAGTGCCATTAAAAGAGAAAGAGAGATAGGAGAAAAAAAGAGTTAACTTGAAAAAGAGACTGTAATTACATTGCTGAGCAGATCAGAAATCCCGCTCCAGGGGAGAGGTCTGCAGAAAAGCTGTAGAAGGCACTGATGGCATTAAAATACCCTATTACATCGATTTCTTAAAAAGCCTGACTAGAAATATTCACATTGAATATAAAAAAATAGTAACAACAACTTTAATACAACTGGAAAGTGCGAAAAATCTGTAACTCCTCCCTCCCCAACACAGAAAGATCTCAGGAAAGACGAAAAAAAAAAGTCTTGAGTTTTGGTACAAGTCTCACCCTTTTGTGACATATTTATCCTTTGCCAGGGATCATGGAGTACAGAAATAACATGGAATTCAAGAGCAGGGGGAATCTGAAAGCGGCTTCTTTACATTCAGCACCATACAAGGCACATTCAGTCTGCAACAAGCTGGAAGAGCAAGGAATCGGACGTCAAAAATAATCTTTCTTACAATCCACTGAGGGAGTCCCTGATCTCCTTGTCTGAGTTGCTTTTGTTTTTGGTTTTCTTTTCCTTTCTCTCTCTCTTTTTCTTTCCTCTCTCCCACACAACACCGGGTCTCTACCAATCCGGAGCGGCACAACACGGACAAGAAAGAGGTCTGCACCAAACACACGGAGAGCGGGGACACCGGGAACTGGCTGTGCCCCAGCGTGCGAGTCCTGGGCTGGTGGGGTGGCAGCCGCAGCGCGGGGGGCGGCCAACAAGTCCTACGTTGGAAGAGGAGAGGGTGAGCAACCATCCAAATAATATTAATAATAAAAATAACAATAAAATAATAATAAATACTGTCCAAGGCGCCGCGGGCTGCAGCGGGGCGCTCCGCGTCGGAGCGGGGCACGGAGGGGACCTTGCTCTCCTGGCTGCCAGTGTGTGTGAGCGGGGGGACGTGCGCGCAGGGGGTGCCTGTCACTGAGTGCCGGCGCAGGTGGAGAGAGCCCAGCCGGGCAAGCAGTAGTAGGGGTAGTAGTAGGAGGGCTGCAGGGAGAGCAGCGAGGGCGGCCGCAGCACCTCGCCGGGGTGATACTGTCTCTGGTCGTCGCGCACGAGCACCTTCACGGCGACTTTCTGGGCGGCGTGCGCGGCGGCGAGCAGCTCGGCGGCCATTTGGCGCCGCTTGGTCTTGTAGCGCCGGTTCTGGAACCAGATCTTCACCTGCGTCTCCGTGAGCTTCAGCGAGGCGGCCAGGTCGGCCCGCTCGGGCCCCGACAGGTAGCGCTGGTGGTTGAAGCGTCGCTCCAGCTCGAAGACCTGCGCGTGCGAGAAGGCGGCGCGGGAGCGCTTCTTGCGCGGCTTCGGCGCTGCCGCCTCCTCCTCCTCGCCCGGCAGCAGCTTCGCGCACTTGCCCGCTCCGTCCTCCTCGTCGGGCGGGCTGCGATCTGCGCGGCGGGGAGAACACGACGGTCAGGGCGCGTCGGCAGCCCCGGGGAGAACCGGACCCCCGGCCCAACCGCGCGGACACCGCGGAGCCGCTGCGCGGTTTGCACCGCGGCTCCTCGTCTCGCCTTGGGCGCGAGGCGGCCCTGGGACCAGCCTGGCCAAGGGCTGTGCGCGCTCCAGGTCCCCCGTGGGGGATTTTTTGCGTTTTTCACTCCGCTCAGTTCCCGCAGGAACCCCGTCCCGCGCGGACACTCGAGGGCGCGG